CTTTGATTATAAAACATTATCTTCATCTAAGTCACAATTACAAAAATTATATTTTCCCCATTTTCCCCCAAACTCATTTCAAATATCACCATTTAGTTTTTAAAACATCAAAACATTATTTCCGCATTTGTAACTGCAGGTTAAATGCATTCGTGTCCTGCAACAGATGCAGATTCAGATGCAGATTTTGTGCCACCTCTGTATTGCAAACACAAATTCTGTTGATACTGATTTAATTTGACTGGTAACAGCCCTATAGTGTCTTACTATTTAAATTTAAGAATTGGACACAAAAGGTGATACACACATTTAATTAGGCTAGAAAAAAAATTGGCCTCATGAAGCTAAAAAAAATCAATTAAACTCATTAGAAAAAATTCATCTCTGTTACTCCTGCAAACTAACCACTGCACAGAATATGAAGAATATCAAAACCTTTGGGAGTCAGCTGTCCACAGCAGTCCAAAAAAATACCAGCAGAATAACATGCTCAGCAAAATATTGTCTAATTATTGCCATCAACAAAATTCTAGAAAATATTGAGATATAATTTGTCATTATTGCACACCCCTAGTTTACACAAACACCAATACGCTGATAACTACAAAAATCATCTTACTGAAATGTAAACCAATAACATGACAACACAAGAAAGCCATGTTTTCGAGACATCTTTTCGATCAGATTATTCCCCGGGAAGTGACAAGATTCTGTGTATCCGACCCCTAGAGTATTACACTGCAATGAATTGCAATTTTAAATAAAGCATTAAAACCCCCAGATTTTCAGCGAGAAACCTGTACAGACCCATATTCTTCTATTATGTAGTTTCAACAACTGTACCCTAACACAAAATGCTCACTCCTGCTGAATGGTAATTAAATGAATTATTTAGTAGAACACGTGTGACAAACTCAGGTCCTAGAGGGCTATTGTCCTGCAGAGTTTAGCTCCAACACACCTGCCTGGAAGCTTCTAGCGCTCATAAAGGCTTTGATTAACTGGATCAGGTGTGTTTAATTAGGAATTGAGCTAAACTCTGCAGGACAGCAGCCCTCCGGGAGCTGAGTTTGACACCCATGCACTAGAGCAGGGGTGTCAAACTCAATTCCTGGAGGGCCGGAGCCCATTGAATTTGACACCCCTGCACTAGAGGAACCAGGTTTTGTGTGCGTTGTTTATTTAAATGGCAGGTCACCTGCGCAACACTCTGCACACATCCAGCCTCATCTTCTTAACTAAAACACCTGACACAGTTTTTGCAAAAGCTGTTAACCTACTTTTCCCCAGCATGCACTGTTGATGAAAAGTAGGCAATTGTCTCCCCTTGTCCAAATACCCACACTTGCGGTCTTGGCCACTTGAGAGCGCGTGCGCGTGACAGGTAGTAAGTGCGCAAGACTGTCCCAGGTATTTATCACTTAATTAGAAGCACCAGAAATTAAATTGTGTCATCTGTCACTGAACAGACATTTAGAAGTTGATTTTAAATTGCAAAGTATTGAAAATTAAAATAAAACTCTGTAAACACTTGCGTTTTTACAACACTGTAAGTGTGTCCCATCAGGTAATGAAAAGTTGTACACACACTTGTGGTCTTCATGCTCACGTGAACACTTGGGCCAAATACAGGAAATACGTCATATAAGTAGTCAAGTGGTCAAGTGCAAAGACCGCAAGTGTGGGTATTTGGACATGGCAGTTGTTTGTTATTTGTTTTGCCATATTGTGTTTCTTTAGAATTGTGACTAGGTTTTCCTCCTAAATTGTGTATGACATTTTTACATATAGTACATGCAAACAGCAGCGAACGACCAACAAAAACACAGCATACACTCTGATCCCTATGACTGGACTGGAGTTCTCGTGGAATTCTAAACTTCCAACAGGATCACCTCCTGAACTGAAGCGTTCCAGCAGCCATTTTAGGCCGCATTTACACTTCAGGTCTTGATGCCCAATTTGTTGATTGTTTGTAATTTTTTGATAACCAGCAGCTTACATCTTCTTTCAAAACTGACCTATATCCGATATCTGCATTTACACTTGGAGAAACATCCAAATGTAGACATAAAAGCTTACTCCGGAAAGGATGTAAAAACGACGCAATTTGCAATGGACGCAGACGAACTGATAATACATGCTTCTGCTTGCCCAAAGGCTCAAAAGTCATAAAACTTAAGCATGACTCCACTGGGTTGAGCCTCTGTTCTCCATTGAAAAGAGTCATGTGATCACGATCGGTGTTCACCTGAGTTGACGTCATTGCCACAATTGCTTTTTGGTGGCAAAAACTTAACTCGCATTGACAGGGAATATCCAATCTGTCCACTTACATGGCAAACACAAATGCACGTAACCGATTTATATCTGATTTATTTTCACTAAAACCGATTTATTTGGCCTAAAACCGATCTGAGTATCCATGTATGGTTTTTTTTCCTGCTTTCATGACACGTTTGTGGGTCATATCTGATCTGAGCCACATGGGATGAAAAAAATCTGAACTTGGTTACTTGAACCATGTAATGTAAATGCGGCCTTAGTTTGCCCGACCACAAGAGGGTGTCAACAACAGCAGACACCTAGACCTAAAACGGGTATCAAATCATGTTCCTAGAGAGCCACCTTCTAGCAGAGTGTAGCTCTGTAGCATCCAATAAACACACATGAATCAGATGATCAAGGTCTCTTTTGCAGCTTAATAGACTTAAACAGTCAAAATAAATTAATAATAAATAAATTGTAAAATATTGGCAAGATGATGAGAACTTGACCCATTTTGGTAAGCATTCACTTAAACACTGCACTCACTTAAACAGTGTAAACGGGGGAAAATATGAATAAATATGAATAAATATGTCAAAATATTGGACCTATGCAAAAAAAAATTTTTTTTTAAACAATAGGCTATTTTGAATGAATTCTCACAATGTGATTTGTGAAAAAACATGCCAACATGATAATGGGGCATAAGCAGACTGTAGGAAAATATGGATTGTACGAATTCATATACTTTTTTCCACAAATTTGTAAAAATAAAAAAAAATAAAATAAATTGTCATGAAACTGTGTTGATATATGTTCTTAATTCTAATCGAACAACAAAATAAAAAGAGAAAATCACCTACTGCTCTTGATTGAATAACTTTTAATTCATTTTAATTCAAAGACTATGCAGTGTTTTATTTTACATTTGATTGCATCAAGAATTTCTTTCTTGAACAATGCTGCTCACTAGGGTAATGACATGGCTTTTTTATTATTATTAAGTTTCTTGAGGTTTATTTATTTATTATGTCTTTGAGAACTGTAAAACAGTATATATCATGTCAATAATATACATTGTGATATAAGATGCATTTATCTATGCACTGATATCACAAGTGGGACATTTCTTCACTATGCACAGACATCCTCTGGCTTGCCCAGACTGCACAAACCACACCCAACCATCACAAACCATGCCAGAGAGGTTAAAGCATGAATTATCTATGGAGATCAGATATCGGAGAAAGCCAAGAACAGCACAGAGAACAGTTTATATTGGGGGGGGGAGGAAACACATCTGACACATTTTATGTTCTAAAACCACAGCAAACAAAACTGAAGAACTTTACTAACTAGTATCAGTTAAGCTTAACTAATTGACTAATCATATTAGACAAAAACCCGTCTAATCCCCTTCTTATCATGAAAGCTACGTGACAGAGTAAGCAAAGATCAGCATGGTCATTATTTGCATCATACAGACTACTAAAAGCCATCTAAGCTCATTATGCAAGAGCTCATGGATCATTAAAGATTATGAAAGATCATTATTGGCCTCACGGTTTTGGCCACATCAGTATTAGTCTTTTTGTAGTGAGGTAGTGTCACATTACCTAAAGGCCATCATTACCTGTGTCTGACCTTTCGAAACACCACAAAAGTGTTCACGTCATCTGCTTGAATCACTCTTATCACACCGACAAGTTGCATTGCAGAAATGCTGAAATAACATTAATTGTTTTGTTGTTGTTGCTCTTTGGAACAATCAATTGACATAGCTATCATGGAAAATCCTTCAAAAGATGCGTTATATTTCATGCAGCCACTTAATCAGGGGGAAATTAAGCATATCGAAAGAATAAGACATCAAAAAGTTTAATAAGAAATAAGCACCCAACTTAAAAAGGGAGGAAAATTTAATTAAAATATACAAAGACAGAGTGGAATTGCCAGACATATAACATGATGAGTAATGGATGAATTCTCTGATAGACCAAGGTCATTCTACAACTGTTTTTATATTTCCCCCATTATAATAATAATAATAATAATGTCAAATCTGTTCTGCTATATTAACAAATCTTTTTGATGTCAAACTAAATAATTGTAGGCTTTTTAGTTTCTTAATATATCAATAAAGGGCTGTCACATTATTTTGTAAGTGGTTTACTTGGTGTTCTTTTTTCAGAACACATTTTGATTAACACCCTATCACAAATAACATAACAGAGTAACTGAAAATACAAAATGATTATTTAAAAAGTATATTTCATACAGAACGTTTATATGTAAATTGTTTTAAGTTTTAGACATTTCACCTTTTACCTATTTCATTTAGTCAAATGCACTATGTATATACTATCACAACAAACTGGCAAAATGTGTGCTTTGCTGCATTAAAAGAAAAATGCATATTTACATTATCTTCATAAGTGACTTTCAATGATTAAATGAAAACTAAATTTAAAAAAATAACATGATTATTATTGCAAAATTAAGGTAAACGCGTCTGTGTGCTCAAAAATCGAGTTTTTTTATTTATTTTTTTATTTATTTTTCTTTTCATAATAATGTGACAGCAAGTGTAGAATGACCAGGGAATGTAAACAAAGTCAACAGCACATCAAATCACTGTGAGCAAACTATAGTCCATATTAACATAGATTAACGTAGTGTAATAAGAACAACAGAAAAACTATAAAAACGCACAGTCAGAAGGAAACACACACCTTATCTGAGCGGCCGCCTGTACGATTTCATCCGATTGAAGGCGAATACAGCTGGGCGTGGAAATCCACCACAGGAGTCACGCCTGTTTACTGCTTCCACTTGATCCAACGCTTAGTCGAGATATACAGTTGTCCATGCATAGGAAGACTAGCTCTTCTCATCGCATTCTATGTTATTGTGAAGTAACGTCCTGCCGGCATGAGAGCATGCTGTATGAAAACAGCTGACACTGACGTCAGCATTCCTCATACTGCGGGTATACCCGGAAATGGGCGTTTCTTAGCGGCGCGGACGTTGTTTCTGATTTGGGCCTATCCCGGCCTATCCCTGTCATAAGAAGATACCGCATTTGGCTGCAAGTACGCGCCCCCGTCTGGCAACGGTCAGGGAAGTAGTTGGTGGGGGAATGGTGCTTTTAGGAACTCGAAAGCAATTCAATTCACTATCTTTTAAAGCAATTCACTGTTTTTGAGCGCTGGAGACACCGAACACTGTCGACACCAGTGCTGTAAACACCGCGCTCTGCTGGTCAAAAAAGTGTAAATGCAACTCAGTGACACCTTTTACAAACTAATTCATGTTTTCACATGTGTCCTTTTTTATTAGTGCTGGACTGGGTTTATGTAGGCTAGCTATTTTTAGGGAGAGCTTGGCTAATCAGGCCAGTTAGAGTCAATTAGTTCACTCTTTCTTACGCACTAGCAAAAACTAGCCGACAAAAGTAGTGTGATTAGAAATGTTTAAAAAATATATATCGTTCCAGTGTTTATTCATATTTTTTCTGAGAACCTCAGCTTGGAGTTGGAAAAATATTCTTTCTCATGAAACAAATTGCAGGAATTGAAAGGTATTTATTAGTTGGAACAGATGATGAAGTAGGCCTATCATTTGGTGTTTTGCCCACTACTCCACTGGATCACCAAAAACATACTATTATACTCCCAAGAGGTGCAACAACTGTGGCACAGTGGACTCTTTGTATCTCATCTATTATTCCTATTATTTTTTTTACATTTATTCGTTTAGTAGCCTATCTTCTCTTTGTCTCCTGTCCTCTTGCTTAAGCGTTTAGGGTGATTCTGGTTTTAGCAATGTAGATGGCATGGATCTGTGTTCTGCATTAAGAAAATAACCTATGTAGTTCTTGACTGCAGCATCAGCTTTGGCGTTAAGACTAAAAGCTAAAGTCTTAAATCCAAAAGTGTCGCCTTGTCTCATTATGGACTTGAAAGCTCGGAAGCTTAAAATCTGTTACGTTGTTAATTCTTTAATTTGCTGTTGATTGCAATTTGTGCTCTCTCGTTAATTCTGTTATGTACACTTTCTTGTCATTCCAAATATTGTTTTTTCTTCAGTTGGACAAATCAAATTTTTATTTGTCCAATACAGTAATTACAATAAAAGACCTGAAAACAGCTGTCCATCAGCAGTCCCCATCTGACCTGAGCTTCAGGGGATGCAGAGAAGAATGGCAAAAAATCCAGATGTGCAAAGTTTGTCACATTATACCCAAAAAAGACATTAAATACCCACTATAGCCAAAAAAGTCTGTAATCGGCACCAAAGGAGCCTCAAATAAGTACTGTGTTAAGAGTCTGAATAGTTATCACATGTTTTTTGCTTTGTCATTAGGGGTATGGAGTGTAGATTGGTGTGAATTTTCTCTAATCATTTTACAATAAGTATGCAAAATGTGGGGGGAAATGAAGGGGTCTACATACGTTCTGAATGTGCTGCAGACCTACATTTGCCTCTCGAACAGCAGGTGTCACCAGCATGCAGTGTTTCGAGTGCTTCGAAAGAGTGAATTATTTTGTGAACCGTTTGGTTCAATTGACTCAAAATTTAAAAGCTCGTAGTATCCCTATGCCCTACTCATGCTTAAGAGCATATGGCAATCTGTTTACGCATTTAATGTCCCTAGTTCTACAATTTGTAGTTTGACTAGTTAGAAAATTCCCATTCCAAATACCTATTCTGAAATTTTGACTCATCATAATTGGCATTAAGATATTCTATGTTATTTTGGCTAGTCATAATGTACATTTAAGATATATCTGCAAAAAAATATTTTGACTAGTCATAGGCCTACTTACTTTGAAAGTAGTTTAGTGTTGTGGCAGTGAAGTTGTGGCATTACTTAACTCTGGCATTACTTGCCAACCCACATCCCTCTGATCCCGATATAGATTGTATTACTATAATTAAAAATCTTTTTAGAAAAAACATTTTCTTACAAACTTATGCTATTTATTTTGATAAAATACATCATGAAATATTGCCTAATCATATATGGGTAACAAAGAAATTATAGCTAGCTTTAAACTACAAATGATGATTAATGAGGTTATACAACACTTACTAAAAGTCACTATCAATCACTACTGAGTGTTTGTAGTAATACTTCTGACTGCGATCCAATGTGGATTTTAGTCAAATGATGAAGCAGAAATATGTTAGTAACTTTTCATATTTTAGGTAGGCCTATGCAATTACAACTTCTGTGGGGCGTGAAGGGAAATTAATGTAACTAGTGTAACTAATTACTGTTGCCAGAAAGTAATAGATAAAGTAATAATATTACATTTGAAAGGAGTAGAGTAATAATAAATTACATATTTGAGTAACGAGCCCAGCACTGTTTATTATGATATCTACAAATGAGTTGTGACCAGGTGAGCTAGACCATTTCTATAGTCTTTGGCTAGACCCCTTTTCTGGGGAATAAGCCAAAGTTAAATACCACGCGTGTCCCAGTAAAATATTACTGCTATATATTTATCAGTCAATATGACCGACCTGAGAATCATTTTATCTGCTAATTTCAGTAATAAAGTCCTGTTTTCTTTTAGTTTTTCAAAATCAAAACGATAACCCGATTCGCGAATTAATCAATCTTTTGATCTAATCAGTCAGAAGGGTTTGAATGGGGGTCTAAATTGTCCGATTTGGTTCATTCGGACAGTTCATTCACGCACTGCAAAGTTTGCAGCGGAATATTTTATAACACAGAAAACAAAAAGAGCGCTGGATGGTGTGGATATTTACATATAATCCGTTGAAGAAAACAAAACTAGCAAATGTCTTTTATCATCAAGGACTAAGCAGCTCTATATTGCGTGTACAGCTTGTAACCCGGTAAACATTAAGTTCCGTGCTGAAATTTGTGCTGTTTCTGTAGTAAAGCCTGACTTTTTTTATTTGATTGGTTTTCTCAGTCATTTTAACATTTGCAAACGTTATTAAGCTTGAAGCAGACCACCCTAAAATGCAACTTTTTACACTTTGTGTCATCCTAACATGAGCCGTGAAAAATGGTGTGCAGTAGAGCAAATCAAGAATATCGTCTCGGGTTACCCATGTAAACATGGTTCCCCGAGGGGGGACGAGACGCTGCGTCCTGGTGGACACTTTGGGGAATGCAGCAAGTATGACCGGTGCCTGAAGCATGTATAAAACAACTTCACTCCTATTGGTTCATGTAGCCTGTGTCGTCATAGGTGGGTACGCAAAAGTATAAATGGGCACCTGCTGAATACGTCACCAACTTTTGTTGTCTTCAGAACCGTCTGTTTGTCAACATGTGTGAAACATCATCCTGGTGAGTCGAGCAGTGCTTTCGCGGGTGGAGCTATATTCAGCTCAGCCATGCCTCTCTAATATGCATGTTATTGTGAGTGGAGAGCCTCGCTGGGCATGGATATGCTGAATGCTCTGTTGAAAGAATCTGCGAGCTTTCTCTCCCAGGGTGTTTCAGTAATCTAGAGTGGTTACGGGGAATGTTCCTTCCTGTGTTTAGCTGGATGATAAGTGAAAAGTCTGTTGTCTGAGGAGACGTAAACAGGCAGGCCGAAGGCATGGCAAGGGGACGCAGCATCTCGTTCCCTCTCGGGGAACCATGGTTACATGGGTAACCCGAGACGTTCCCCTTCTAGGAAACTCAATACTGCGTTCCTGGTGGACACTTTGGGGAACGAAATCCAATCACGCCATGCCGAGGCGCATGCCTGTCCACCTGGTGAGAAAGCACCAAGGACGATGACAGACATACACCAAAACTTTTCCTCAGAAAAGGGCCAAGCCACTGAGGCCTCGGGCCGCTCACATAACTTGGTAGAAGAGGGAGCCTGCTTCCAGATAAGAGGGGACACCCTAACCAAGCTAGGAACACAACATCCTCAGATAACTATGCTATGTGAGCAATAGTAGCCAGAATACCTAAGACCACTGATAGACTGGAGTCTCAAAGATTGCTACCAACAGTCCCAGCTAGGACACAGCTATCCGCAGATAGCTATATCCAAAGGGTCTTATGACAAAGGACCTTCCTAAAGAGCTGCCCAGACCAAGGGGATGGCTATCTACTTAAAACCCCGCAGGGGAGATAGCACTGTCTAAGCCAGGGCTCAGGGAGACCGCTACAAACCCTAAGTA